TCCTGCCCGGGCTGGCTTTGAACCGCGATCCTCAGATCTCAGCCTCCTGAGTAGCTAGGATTACAGGCGTGAGCCACCAGCGCCCGGCTTAGCTCTTAATTCTTAGTTCTCAAATCCTCTGGTAGAGATCCTAATTTGGTAAAATATACTGAATCATTCCAATTACTATTCAAAGTAAACCTAGCATGGTAATATACACCCATAATCCTAACACTCAGAAGACTGGGCAGTAGGATCCTAAGTTTGAAGCCAGCCTGGGTTACAAAGTGAGTTCAGGTATGGTGAGTTACACATTGCACTGTCTCAAAAGCAAAAACTAAAACACAAAATTAAAATGTTCAAAGTGACCAGGTACCAGTGGCTCATGTCTATAATCCTAGCTACTCAGGAGGTTGAGACCTGATGATCTCAGTTTGAAGCTAGGCTGGGCAGGTAAGTATGCAAGACTGTGATCTACAATTAACCAGCAAAAAGCCAAAGTGGAGATGTGCTCAAAGTGGATCAGATATATGTGTGTATGTCTGCATGCCTATCCTGTGGCTTGAATTTAGGGCTTGGGCACTGTCCTCCAGGTTTTTTGCTCATGGCTAATGCTCTACCTCTTGAGCCACAGCTCCATTTCAGGCATTTTGTGTGTGTGTGATTACTTGGAGATAAGAGTATCATGGTCTTTCCTTCCTGGGCTGGCTTCCAACCATGCTCCTCAGATCTCAGCTTCCTAAGCAAGCGAGGATTACAGGCATGATCCACCAGTGCTGAACTTGGATCAGCTTTTAAAGGCGTTTAACATCTAATACAGGAATGACAGAATCATTGGAGTATAATTATCTATTAATTCCCTGTTCTTATACCTGACAAGATGTTTTACAAATGTAGAACAGTATCAGTGTGTCAACTGATTTATAATACAAGAGCAAAGGGCTTTTGTTTTCTTCAGTCTGGAGATAGAATCCAGGCCTTGTGCACTCTACCATCTAGCTTCATCCTCAGACAAAGGATTAGATTTTATTGGCTGTATCCTTTCTTCCATTTTCTAATTTGTGACAATCATAAATCTTGACTTTATTTTACTTTTTCTTAAACTTTATTTTTTTCCCTCTATAGTGCTGTCAGTCTAAGAAAGAACATAATGATGACTGTTAGAGATTTTAGTAAGCTCTCCTGTCTTGTGTAGTAATATCTTTAGGGCAAGAAACTGAGCATCAACTTTTTAGTTTAAGTTGCTATGACCACACAGCACAATAGATTGCATTAGAGAGCTCAATGCTTAACTCTTGAAAAAGACGACACTATAAAAACTAAGAACAACTTTATGTAGCTTTCTAAAATTTCTCTGGACTTAAAATATATGGTTAAAAACTAAATGTAGATATAACAGACATTAAAATTCACAACAAAATATTTCAGACATTATACTGCAATAATATTATTCGGCGTTCTTAAACTGGTGAGTATTTAATTAATCTGATTTGTTCATGGAAGCTTTATTATAAAGCAACCATCATATAAAGCACATACTAAACTGGGAATTTTTCTGATTATTGAGGCATTGACTTTTTATGAAAAAAATTTTTTTTCTTAGTTACTTTTGAGGCCCAACTAAATGGCTTATTTTATTTCTCAAAGTGATAGAGGTAAGTACTAAAGAGTTAAAACACAGTTTGCTTCTATGTAGTTACTTAAATAGTTCCAAGGACAAACAGAAGAGATTATACTATCCTTCTACTTACTCTGTAGACTGCTGCCATCCAGGACATTGGTGGCAGAAAGATCCAGAGAATTAGGCCTCTGTGCTCTTCTGGGCTTCGATGGCCCAGGATCAGCTACTGTGCTTGAAACACTCTGTGTAAGTACACCTTGTTCTGAACATGGATTGCTGTTGTTGTTATTGGAATTAGTTCGGCCACCTTCTAGTGGCCGTTCTCTCCTGTCCACAAGACGATCCAGCACACCTTCATCATGGCTAGCCTGTTGTTCTCGTCTCAGTAAAGGTTCATGCTCATCAGGACTGGAATTAATATTCAACCGGGTGTCTTCACCAGTAAATTGATTCTGCAGCATTTCTTGGGCCCTATGTGCCACTATATTGGCTGTCTGGCCAGAAGGTACTGCCCCATTGACATACTGGGTTGTGGCAGCATGGGAGTTAGCACTGTGGTTTCTACCAGCCACACCATTCATAGTGACTGTCACCACGTGAGGTTCTGCTGCATTGATTGTATTCATCTTGGCAACTCCAGTTTCTATTTGTTTCAAGTTTGATTTGTGCTTGCTGCCAAATTTTAGCCGGGGCTCCTTAGTTGAATTTTTAGTGTTCAAAGGCAAACTAGTAGGTCTCTTAGGAAGGTTCTGTTGCTTGGGGAGAGGATAGATCTGAACAGATGGAACATCAGGAATTAGACATGCTTGGCCATTTGCAACCTGTGTGAAGTCCTGCTGCCCAGTCACTTCCACTGCAAGCTTTATGAGTGGGTAAAGCAAGCTAGAACTGGTACTGCTCAGTGGGTCTGGTCCACTGAACTGTTTAAGAGAATGCTCCATGAGATTCTCATCAGAGCTTTCCTTGAGGTTCTTATCAACTTCTTTTGGGTCTAGCTTGTTGGTCTCCAAGTCTTCTTCTGTCAGTTGTAAGCATACAGGGGTTGGCCCAATAGACTGTGCAACATTTGTGGCATGAAGATTTGTTTCATCTGGGTATGGCAACTCAGATATAGTAGTCATGCCAGTACTTGGAGTGAGGCCAGTAGTGTTTGTGGTTGTTGTATTGGTGGACAGGCTGGTGACGCTTGTTTCAGGGCTGGGGATTCGAGCTTGTGCTTGCTGTCGTTCATAATTAATTGAGTTTCGATTCTTTTCCCCTATAGTCAAAGGTGTGGTGGACACTGAATGCTCTGTGGAAATATTCTTCACAATGCTGTCAGTGTGATGAATAGAATCTTCAATGTATGAGGAAGAAGAGTAATCTGGGTAAGGGCCAATTTTTGGCACACGCCTATTATGTGACAGATTGCTTAAAGAAAGAAAGAAAATGAAACGATGAGAACGTACATTTAAAACAAATTGTTTTATCATTATAAACCATTGATTTTAAACTCCGAGTGGCTTTCTATTCAGACCTTAAAATTTGCATTTTAGATGTTATTTTAAAAGTCCAAAGGAGTGGTTAATAAGTTGTTAAAAGCAAATCTTACATTAATTGTCTATTGAAAATGTATGTAGATCCAAATATGATTTTTGTTATTATTTTGGTTTGCAAAGTTTAGTTTAAAAAATCTCCTGTATAATTTTATAACATCACCAAATATAACCTTGTGAACTGCATACTAGCACAGTTAGACATTAGGTCTTGTGAGAAAAGGAACTATGAGGGCTGGGAAGGTGGCTCAGTGGTAGAGCGCTTGCCTCGCATGCATGAGGCCCTGGGTTCGATTCCTCAGCACCACATAAGCAGGAAAAAAAAGCTGGAAGTGGCGCTGTGGCTCAAGTGGTAGAGCGCTAGCCTTGAGCTGAAGAGCTGAGGGACAGCACCCAG